GGCGCGGCGCCGGCGGGCAGCTCGCGGGCGGCACCGGCGGGGCAGCCGCTTCTGGCCCTCTGCCTGGCCGCCCGCCCGGCAAGGTGTGCGAGGCCGACGCTCTGGCCTGGGCTCCGCCTGGCGACCGCGCCGCGCGCGCAGCGCGGGCCGCACCAAAGCACGAGCGAGGGGCAACGTTGCGGCGGGGGGGCCAGCTCACTGGTGGAATCCTTGTGAATGCCATGACCCTGGACACTCTAACAATCCTGTCATAGAATGACAGGTGTGATAAACATGTGTAAAACATGTTCTACAAATGTTTCAAACATGTTTTTAACGTATATTGAAACATATTTGAAACATCTTTTAGACATCTTGAAATTATATGGCAGCACGCTTCCTCTCCATTAATCCACTTCCACAATGGGATCCTCGACCCAGAATCGGCGAGACATCGCCGATGGCAAGGCGACGGGCCCCCGATGGCAGGTCCACACGGTCACGGGCGGTGTGGGTTCTCGGGCCCCTCTCGGCGATGAACGGGCGATGGAGGGTCGGCGCATCTCCCCGGGAGTCTATCCCCTCTAGCGTTGTGGATGCCACGACAGTGGACACCCTGACAGTCCGATCCTTGAATTTAAAATGGGTTTAAAATGTCGGAAAATGTTCTGAACTTGTTTAAAACATGTGTGTTTTAAAGCATGTGTGTTACATGTTTGAAACATGTAACACACATGTTTAGACATCTGGAAATTATTTGGCAGCCTGCTTCCTCTCCATTAATCGACTTCCACAACCCTAGCGTTACCCCCGAACAGGGTGCACCGCGATGTTCTGCGGCGTGACTCGCCCTCAGACTGCATAGCTGCTGAGGAGCCACCTGTGCGGCAGCGCCAGCGCCATGCTACCCCAGCCAGGGCATCTGGGCGAAGATCATCCATGCGTTTGCTGGGGCATGCTGTGCGCGGCCCAGCGCGAGCGGACGAGATGTGCAGGCGCTTGGAACAGCAGCTGGCCTCGAAAGAGTACGTGGACGAGCGAGTCGTTTTATGAGTTGCCCGCGAACTACCCATTCGCATAACCCTCATTCCGTTCGTTCCGTCTTCTACGCTGACGACGTGGGCCGCCACGACTTACGCCTCTCTGACGGCGCTTGGCGAGCCAGGTCGGACAATCTAGCTTGGAACGTCGACGTCCATTACGCGAAACCCGTCCGCGCACGGCTGCAGGGAACTGATCCGTTGTGAATGCACCAAGATCTGGTACTGCTCGCAACTTCCCGACACGACTTACGCCTCTCTGACGGCGCTTGGCGAGACAGGTCGGACAATCTATCTTGGAACATCGACGTCCATTGAGCAAAACCCGTCCGCGCACGGCTGAAGGGAACTGATCCGTTGTGAATGCAGGATGTGGTACTGCTTGCAGCTTCCCAACACGACGTACGCCTCTCTGACGGCGCTTGGCAAACCAGGTCGGACAATCTATCTTGGAACATCGACGTCCATTACGCGAAACCCGTCCGCTCACGGCTGAAGGGAACTGGTCCGTTGTGAATGCAAGATCTGGTACTGCTTGCGGCTTCCCGACACGACTTACGCCTCTCTGACGGCGCTTGGCGAGCCAGGTCGGAAAATCTAGCTTGGAACATCGACGTCCATTACGCGAAACCCGTCCGCTCACGGCTGAAGGGAACTGATCCGTTGTGAATGCACCAAGATCTGGTACTGCTTGCAGCTTCCCGCCACGACTTACGCCTCTCTGGCGGCGCTTGGCGACACAGGTCGGCCAATCTAGCTTGGAACGTCGACGTCCATTACGCGAAACCCGTCCGCGCACGGATAAAGGGAACTGATCCGTTGTGAATGCACCAAGATCCGATACTGCTTGCAGTTTCCCGACACGACTTACGCCTCTCTGACGGCGCCTGGCGAGACAGGTCGGACAATCTATCTTGGAATATCGACGTCCATTACGCGAAACCCGTCCGCGCACGGCTGAAGGGAACTGGTCCGTTGTGAATGAACCAAGATCTGGTATTGCTTGCGGCTGCCCGACACGACTTACGCCTCTCTGGCGGCGTTTGGCGAGCCAGGTTGGACAATCTAGCTTGGAACATCGACGTCCATTACGCGAAACCCGTCCGCTCACGGCTGAAGGGAACTGATCCGTTGTGAACGCACCAACATCTGGTACTGCTTGCGGCTTCCCGACACGACTTACGCCTCTCTGACGGCGCTTGGCAAACCAGGTCGGACAATCTATCTTGGAACGCCGACGTCCATTACGCGAAACCCGTCCGCGCACGGCTGAAGGGAACTGGTCCGTTGTGAATGCACCGAGATCTGGTACTGCTTGCAGCTTCCAGACACGACTTACGCCTCTCTGGCGGCGTTTGGCGAGCCAGGTCGGACAATATATCTTGGAACGTCGACGTCCATTACGCGAAACCCGTCCGCGCACGGCTGAAGGGAACTGATCCGTTGTGATTGCACCAAGATCCGGTACTGCTTGCGGCTTCCCGACACGACTTACGCCTCTCTGACGGCGCTTGGCGAGCCAGGTCGGACAATCTAGCTTAAAACATCGACGTCCATTACGCGAAACCCGTCTGCGCACGGCTGAAGGGAACTGGTCCGTTGCGAGTGCACCAAGATCCAATACTGCCTGCAGCTTCCCGACACGACTTACGCCTCTCTGACGGCGCTTGGCGAACCAGGTCGGACAATCTATCTGGGAACATCGACGTACATTACGCGAAACCCGTCCGCGCACGGCTGAAGGGAACTGGTCCGTTGTGAATGCACCAAGATCTGGTATTGCTTGCGGCTTCCCGACACGACTTACGCCTCTCTGACGGCGCTGGGCGAGCCAGGTCGGAAAATCTAGCTTGGAACATCGACGTCCATTACGCGAAACGCGTCCGCGCACGGCTGAAGGGAACTGATCCGTTGTGAATGCACCATTATCCGGTACTGCTTGCAGCTTCCCGACAGCTGATCGAGACTCGGCGGGCAGGGCGGTGCTTTCACACGAAAGGCGAGCCACTGCCCAGGACTCCAGAAAGCAGATGGATGCCAACGGCAAGCGCATGGAAAACATCACGTCCTCACCAGCAGGCATCCATATGACTTAGCAGTGTTGCGAAAAGTGCGGGAAGATCTACAGGAGTTCGAAAGTTAGAAGAATGATATGCGCTAGAAGGGTTATGAGGGTTGGGGGAGTTCAAACAGGTGCCGTAGATTGCAAATTTGATTCATCGCCAATCGCAATCCGCAAGCTGCACCCTAAGCATCACAGCATGGCCTTACAACTGCGTGTCATAGCATAGGAACGCATCAGCAACATCACAGCAGAAGCATGTGAACAGCGGCAAGTATCAGAACGTCAGCATGTACAAAACATCATGATACTGTGTAGCGTTCGCATTGGAGCTAGCAGATCACAGCAGTGCATCGCATATCATGTCATGGCATAGAATAACAAAGCAGGGCACAACGTAGCATGAGAGCCCAAGGAACCCAGGAACCGAAGGAACCCCGAGAACCCACTGAACCCAACGAAAACTAGTAACCCCCGAGGGACCCTCCGAGATAGACCAGGTCTTAAGAGCGCTACGTCCCCTGGGCCTCTTTCGCATAATAAATGAGGCCCTGAAGCGCAGCCCAAATGGGAAATAGCATTGCGCTCGTATCCCTCTAAACCAATCGGGCAAGTCGGAGACCACCGAGCCAACCCGACTGAACACAGAAACGCGCACAAAGATAATCACAAGAAAACAAAGATCAGCCTTTGCCGGCACACACCATTGCCTGGGCCGTTTGAAGATAAGTCCGACCATACATAGTCTACAGAACTAGCTGTTCAGGGAAACATCACCAACTGCATTCTAAGCCACGGCCCGATTGTTAAGGAAGACACGCCCAGATGAGCCCGACCGTGCCTAGAATCAGAAGGCGCCAGTAAGCCACTGCAGCTTGACAGGTTTGGCCAGCCTTGGCCACCGCGACACAGGGCCACATGCCCGACTCCAGAGACCCTGAAGCCAAAATTGCGGATACGGTCGGGGCGTTGACCTAAGGAAACCTAAATAAGGAACGGGGCCCGTTTGTCCCATAAGTTAAACTTCGATTCCCCATGGAAAACCCAACGCAAACTGTAAAACAATCAAGGAACACCGAGCCCCTCGCCAACGAGAAGGGTTCCTTCTTCAGCGCCCCGACTGTACCTCACATCGATGTCCGCCGCCTTCCACCAGCCTTCCACTGGCTTCCGCCAGTGGACCCGCCGCCATCTTGCCTCCGCCAGCCTTCCGCCCTGCTCGTGGCCGCGCCGCAGGCGAGGCCCCTTCTGGAGCGAACCCACGCGTGTGTGTGAGAAACGCATATCGCGTGCGATCGACGCCACAGCACGGCGCACGAAGCCCAGGCGACGGAAGCGTAGGAGGCCTCCACTGGGGTGCGCAAGGGCATACCGGTACTATACAGTGAAATCATATAGTAAGGACGCGTGGTAAGGACGCAAGACCCTTGGAGGCCGAAGTTGAAGTATTCTGGGCGGCAGGCGGCCAAACCCCCAGGGAGCCTGAGAGACTGGCCTGCGAAAATTGCTAGGGACGGGCCGCAGAGGCTGAGGCAGGCAAGGACCCAAGGGTACCCTTGAAAAAGTCGTTTGTCCTTACTATGCGCGTTGACTGTATGTTCTCCTCAGAGGCGCGTCGCGCGCGTCCGACCCGAACATAGAGTATACCCATCTTGTAGTGTAACGCTTCCCGAGCGGTGTGGCCAGAAAGCGCCCGCCACGACGCATATACTAGAAGATTTCTCAGTGCGCGCGTCGCCCCTGGCGGGGCGACGCACACATAGTCTTAGTATGTTGGGAGGACGCCGATCCACTTCGTCATCCGCCGAATCCCCTGGACACGAGCCACTATCGCCAATCGAAGCCACCGCTGCCACTTCTGATACAAATCCTTGACCTGCCGGCCCCCATGGCCCTCCCCATCACAGTACCGCTGCCGCTTTTCCCGCTCAGGCGGGCAGGCTGGGCGCAGTCTTTCCTCCCCTGCGCGGGAGGGACTCTATTCTAGCACCGAGCTTCCGCCAGAGCGCACTGAATCCCACCAGCCCTCTGGGCGCAGGTAGTGTAGAACGCTTCCTCTGCCAATCCCCATCCTTCCCCTAAAAGGAAGAGATTGTCACTTCTCCAATTTGGTATGCAACAGGGCAGAACACCCAAGCCGTTCTCCGAGGCACGCACGTAATCCTAGACACGAAACCACAAGCGGAGCATGGCATAAAATATTGATCATAAGCGGGCACCTGGCGATCACGCTCTGCTGGCTGAGGGAAGGGAAGGCGGGGGGAGCTAGATTTGTTCGCGGCACGCTCGCCTACAGTATTGTAGACACACATCTATCTATATACGTACATATATATATATATATATATATACATATACCTATACGACCACCCTGCGGGTGATAAGGAGGTTCGGGGGGGAGGAACCAACGTCTCACTCGATCGGTCTCACTATCGATCTCACTATCGATCTCAGTATCGGTCTCGCTCGATCGATCTCCCTCGATCGATCTCACAATCGATCTCACTCGATCTATCTCACACTTGATCTGACTATCGATCTCACAATCGATCTCACAATCGATCTCACAATCGGTATCACATTCGGTACCACTATCGATATCACTATCAATATCACAACGGTTCTCACAATCAACGCCAACATCATCAACAACAACATCAACATCAACATCATCATCACCAACATCATCATAATCGGGACACCGTCCTAATCATCAACACCAACATCATCATCATCATCATCATCATCATCATCATCATCATCATCATCATCACGGTCATCAACATCATCGGGACACCACCATCATCATCATCACCATCATCACAATCATCATCATCATCAACATCATCAGCATCAACAGCAGAATCGGGACACAGTCATCATCATCATCATCAGCAGCAGCACCATCATCGGGACACCATCATGATCACCATCGTCATCATCATCGTCATCATCAGCACCATCATCATCGGGGCACCATCACCACCATCTCATCATCATCATCATCGACATCATCATCATCATCATCATCAGCATCATCAACATCATCATCATCATTAGCTTTATCATCATCATCATCGTCATCATCGGGGCACCATCATCATCATCATCATTACCAACATCAGCATCAACATCATCATCATCAAAATCATCATCATCATCATCATCATCATCATCATCACCATCATCATCATCACCATCGGGTCGCCATCATCATCAACATCATCATCACCATCTGAATAATCATCATCATCGGGACGCCATAATCATCATCAACCTCATCTTCATCAACATCGTCATCATCGGGACACAATCATAATCAGCATCATCAACATCAACATCATCATACTCATCATCATCGGGACACCATCATTGTCATCATCATGATCATCAACATAATCATCATGATCATCATCATCGTCATCATCGGGACACCATCAGCAACATCATCATCATCGTCACCATCATCATCATCATCATCATCGATCTCATCATCATCATCATCATCACCATCATCATCGGGACACCATCATCATCAGATCATCATCATCATCATCGTCTTCATGATCATCATCATCATCAGCATCAGCATCATCATCATCATGATCGTCATCATCATCAGCAGCATAAGCATCATCATCAGCATCACCATCCTCATCATCATCGTCATCATCTCCATATCATAATCTCATCATCATCATCACCATCATCTTCATCATCATCATCATCATCATCATCATCATCATCATCATCATCATCATCATCATCATCATCATCATCGCGGGACACCGCGGGACACCGGCGGGACACCGCGGGGCACCGCGGGACACCGCGGGACACCGCGGGACACCGGCGGGACACCGCGGGCCACCGGCCGCCCGGAAGGGAGTCATTTGGTCCGGCCGCGCCTCAGCCACACGGGACACCAGCGGGACACCGGCGGGACACCGTGGGCCACCAGCCGCCCGGAAGGGAGACATTTGGTCAGGCCGCGCCTCAGCCACAGGAGACTTTTTCTAGCCCGCACACGCAGATTCGCCGCCTCGCCCGCATGCACGGCACGCACGAACACGAAACAAAAATCGATTTCCCGGCAGGGGGGCTCTCCGTTCCACTTCGATCTCACCCCCTCACCTCCGATATATATATATATATATATATATATATACATACATACATACATACATATACATACATATACATATACATATACATATATATATATATATATATATATATATATATCGGAGGTTGGGGGGTGAGATCGCAGTGTAACGGAGTCCCCCCACCGGGAAAACGAGTTTCGAGTTCGTGCTCGTGCCGCGCGTGCGGGCCAGGCGAAGCTGCGTGGGCCAGCGAGAGGAATTCACCCTGCTGTCGCTAGGGGTCCGCCAACACAAATGTTTCCCCCCCCGGCCTTGTCAAGCGGTAGCCCACGTTGTCCCGTCGGTTGCTCGCCGGTTGCCCGCCGGTAGCCCACGTTGTCCCGTCGATTGCCTGTCGCAGCGGCGAACCGAACGACACAAGTCGCCCAAGCGAAGGAACAAAAAACAATCCGCCACGTCATCCACACCATCATCGCCCATCAGCACCACGTTCATCACAGTTGTCGTCATGAGCCACCCCCCTCCCCCCACCCCCCCCACAACCTCCTTATCACCCGCAGGGTGGTCGTATAGGTGTATATATATATATATATATATATATCGGAGGTTGGGGGGTGAGATCGCAGTGTAACGGAGTCCCCCCACCGGGAAATCGAGTTTCGAGTTCGTGCTCGTGCCGCGCGTGCGGGCCAGGCGAAGCTGCGTGGGCCAGCGAGAGGAATTCACCCTGCTGTCGCTAGGGGTCCGCCAACACAAATGTTTCCCCCCCCGGCCTTGTCAAGCGGTAGCCCACGTTGTCCCGTCGGTTGCCCGCCGGTTGCCCGCCGGTAGCCCCACGTTGTCCCGTCGGTTGCCCGTCGCAGCGGCAAACCGAACGACACAAGTCGCCCAAGCGAAGGAACAAAAAAATCCGCCACGTCATCCACACCATCATCGCCCATCAGCACCACGTTCATCACAGTTGTCGTCATGAGCTACCCCCCTCCCCCCACCCCCCCACAACCTCCTTATCACCCGCAGGGTGGTCGTATAGGTGTGTATATATATATACATATCGGAGGTTGGGGGGTGAGATCGCAGTGTAACGGAGTCCCCCCACCGGGAAATCGAGTTTCGAGTTCGTGCTCGTGCCGTGCGTGCGGGCCAGGCGAAGCTGCGTGGGCCAGCGAGAGAAATTCATTCTGCTGTCGCTAGGGGTCCGCCAACACAAATGTTTCCCCCCCCCGGCCCTGTCAAGCGGTAGCCCACGTTGTCCCGTCGGTTGCCCGCTGGTTGCCCGCCGGTAGCCCCACGTTGTCCCGTCGGTTGCCCGTCGCAGCGGAAAACCGAACGACACAAGTCGCCCAAGCGAAGGAACAAAAAAAATCCGCCACGTCATCCACACCATCATCGCCCATCAGCACCACGTTCATCACAGTTGTCGTCATGAGCCACCCCCCTCCCCCCACCCCCCCACAACCTCCTTATCACCTTATCACCCGCAGGGTGGTCGTATAGGTATGCGCCAAGCTGACTACCCCAACGCCAGATTGCAAAGCCTGCTGTGTGCTGTCACGTGCGATGGCCCAACTGGCGTAGTCTGCGCGCGTCGCGCGCACGGCGCGGCTGGAGCAGGTGGCACACTTGGCGCACGTGGAGCCCGTGGCGAATCTGGCGCACCAGGCGCGCCTGGTATGTGTGGGCGTCGCGCGCCTAGCCTTCGTGTTGGATCACTATTGATATCCATCCGCTTACAACATCTGCCTGCGCTGAGTCTCCAGTGCTACTTTTGTGGTGGGATGGCGGGTCGGAGGGAGCGAGATGGCTTGTGGCATTCCCGTTGGGAACTTGCGACATCCTCCTACCCCCTCCCCTGGGCCTGCACGCCGGGGAGGCCGTCGCGTCAGAGCATCTAAGATGGCTTCTAGATGGCCTCATATAGCTCTAGATGACCGCCAAGATGGCACAAGATAGCCCAAGATGGCTCCACATGGCTTCCAGCATGCCTCCAAGAGGCCCCAAGACGGCTCCAAGACAGCACGAGGCGACCTCGCAGCCCCCCAAGGATGCACCGAGAGTCAAAAATCCGCTCACAAAATATGATCGCTGCTTTACCTCTGCTTCCCTTCCGTGAAGCTCCAAGATCGCTCCTGAGAGCTCCAAGAAGGCCAAGCTCTACACCTGGTTTCTTAATAAGCGTCGGGGGGGTCACCCCCGCTGACAGCCCCACATCGACCCCAGTCGCGGGTAGCCACCGCGCGCCGAAGGCGCTCCGACCCCCGTCGCGGCGCGACGACGAGGCGAGGTTGACCCCTGTCGGAGGGGTACCCCTACACGCTTATCAAAAAACCGAAGGTAAAATGGCACCAAAGGCTACCAAGAGAGCCCAGGAGCGTCTCGGGAGGGCTCCGAGAGGCCCCCTCTATTCCGAGCAATGGCCTCCAGCCTCCAGGTTGGCTCCAGGTTGGCTCCGCAGGCCCCCAAAGAGGACCCCGAGAGACCCCCAGGAAGGCCAATGGAGCTCCCACAAATGGCCCCAAGGCATCGCCAAACCTGATCTAAAGGGCTTCCAAGAAGCTCCCAGAGCGAAAGTTTCGCAAAGGCTTTTGTGGTTGAGTCGTTGCCGTCGTCGCCTTCTTACTACTCCCCATGATCCTCCTCCTCCTCCTCCGACCCCGACCCCTCCTCCTCCATTCCTCTTCCTTATAGATAACTCCTCCCTGTCGCACCACCAGACGTGTCCGTCGGCCGGGCCGTGAATTTCGGCTGAGGCTTCCGCGCCAATCACAATCCCGAAGCCTGACTTTTGCAACAGCTTCAACGACGCAGCCCGGGTGGCTTTCAAAATGTGTCCCTGCTCTCTCGCCTTAGCACCGCGCAAACTCGTCTTACAAAAAAACTAGCATCAGCTGTAAGGATGGAGCCCAGGTGGTTTTCACGAATGTGGCTCTCACCTCAGCGCCCCGCACACTCGTCTTAAAAACTTGCAGCAGCTTTAACGACGATTCCCGGCTCGTTTTCAAAACGTGGTTATCGCCCTCGCGCCGCGCATATTCGTCTTAAAAGTTTGCAACAACTTCAAGGATGGAGGCCAGTTCCTTTTCAAAATGTGGCTCTCGCCTTAGAGCAGCGAACGTCCATGCGACCCAGTCGTCACCATTCGATGCAACGAACCGACCAAACCTTCAACAACCTACTGCAAACATCAAAATTCTGCTCACATCAAAGCGGCCCAACGCTCACCGTCCTACGGCACTTAGAATTCGGCGCACGGCCATACGACGAAACCTTTACCATTCTACATAAAAAACTACTCGGTGCAGACTCATTCGACCCAATCCTCACTACCTTATGCAAAAAAAATCTGGTGCACATCCTGAGAGAAAAGATCCGGGGCAATCCTCTCTCCGAGAACGAGAGGAAGAGCCAGGCAGGAAAACGATGGAAGGGATCGACACCGAAAACCTGAACGGAACGGCGACACGCCTGATCTGGCGGGGATACGCAAAGCGTCAACATTTTTGAGCCGCCAGGGCGGTACACCTCAACTACTCGGATATCATCCCTTGGTCTTGACCGCGGTGTTCGTGATATTCTTCGCCCGCGTCGCATACTTCAACGACATGTGCGTTTCGTCCATGTTTGAGCTAGCGGGAGAGCAGTTCACAAACATTAAAGTCTTGGCTGAGCCCCCAAGGGAGTCTTGCATGAGCTGCGTCAACTTGTGGTTCCTGTACGGAATCACGTTCCCCTTTTTCTGCTGCTGCGTGAGGGACGAGATGACGTCGCCAAGGGCTGTCAGAGACTTGTTAATCTCGATCGCCTCCGTCTGTGCTTCCTCGAGAGCGCCAGACTTCTTCAGACGCTCGGAGCCGGCCAAGTCGCACAGAAGGATCTTTCCTCGGAGCCTCTCCTGTGTCTCCTTGTTGATGCTCAAGACCTTGATCATGAAGATCAAGTGCGAGCGGGAGCTCTCACTGTTCATCTCCGTGGCGGCAACCTTGCGCTGCTCATTCCCGCGCTCCAACACCTTGGTCAGTTCCTCGGGGGTGGCGCATTCTTCGGCCGTCAAATTCTCTATGGCAACGGTGTTGGACTTCGGGTCGTGCTTGATGTTGAGTTTTTTCCTGCTCGCGCCCGCCTTGCCGCTGCTCAGCAGGTCGAGGAGGTCGTTGCGGTAGAGCTCGACCATGGAGGCCTCGATGGTGTAATCGAAGCGGTCCTTCCCGTGCCCCACAATGTGGAAGAGCTCCCCGATCACGCGGAGACAGGCACCCTCATTCCCAGGCTCGCCGTACATGGTGAACGTCTTTCCGGAGCCCGTCTGCCCGTAAGCAAAGATGGTCACGTTGTAGCCGTCCACTGCCGACTGGACGAGGTCCTTTGAAGGGGCCCTGGGACACAAAAGTAAATACACAGAAATAGAAGGACTCCCATATTTCCCCATACTTTTTGGGTTTTTGTCTTCCCCCCCACTTCCCGTATTTTCCTATATGTTCCTGGGAATCGACGATTAATTGTGTCTGTGCGTTTTTTCCCCTCCTGATCCTTGCAGTCGTCGAAGACCTCGGCCTGGGTGCCTGGAGTGAACACGGCGTCGAAGTGGAACCTCTCCTCGCCACCGTCCAGCTTCGCGACTCCCAGCTCCATCACGCTGATGGCATTCGTGATCTGCTCGTCGCCCTTCTCCCTCTCCTGGGAAAGCCGAAAGATGCCGATACCACAATTCTCCGGACCTGCCCAGGATTGCGCTCTGGCCTGCATTTCGAGGCGAATCCAGCCGTGGCAACGAGCCTCGTTACGAGGGGCCTCCCAGGAGGCCCGAGAAGCCGAAAACCAGGCAAGGGCTACGTGGCGATATCGGTTCCTTTTCCTCCTCTGATCTCCTTCCCGCTCAGCGGGCGGACGCGGCAGAACACCCGGATCGAGCCCTTCAGGTCCTCGATGGCGTTGTGGAGCTTCTTGCGCCTCTGCTCTACGGCCTGGAGCTCCGCCTCGGCCACGCCGGCCTCGGCCGCCTCGACCGTCACGGCGCTGAGCCGCTCCCTCGCCGACCGGAGG